CTACCCACGGGTGGCTGGTCCTACGGGTCGTTGGTGCCTTAGAGGGTGCACGCAGGCAGCGACGTAATTGTTTTTTTAATTGTGTTTGTAATTTCAAATTAAATTATTTTTTTTTCGATAATTTAATGTTTTAATTTAATCTTTTTGTTGTATTTTAATTACCCATGACGGCAATGTGTCGGTCTACGGTGCGACGATACAAGAGAATACGCTGGAGTGCAGATTAAAATCTTATAAGTAAGATGAAATACTAACAATAAAAATAAGTTATACTGGTCAAAAATAGACACAGTGTATTTACACAGCAGGATGGGCGGCTGGACTGGCGCTGTGTAGTGTACCACAGTCACTGTCTTAAACTGGTTGTAGGTATCACTCAAGGGTGAATGAATTATTTTGAGGTGAAGTGAAATCTAGACCAAGAACATAGTAGGAAATTGTTGTCGTGGGTGAATTGAAATTTGTGCATAAGGTCCTCGAGGGTGAATGAAGCACTGAAATAGTTAGGATGAATTATTTTCTTTTCCCTCCTCCACTCCTGTTGGTGCAGTACTTCAATCATAGTGAAAATGCCAGCATACGATAATAAAATTGCAGATAAGAAAGAATTGTTAAAGAAAAATTTAGGAGACAAATACCTGATAAAGAGATTTAAGAAATAAAAATAAGATAAAATAAAAAGTAGAATAGAAATATCAGGAGAAAAAAATTGTGATTTTAAGAGAAAAATTGGTGCCTGTACTCACCCTCGGTCACTAAATACGTAGGCAAGACACAACCAACCACCGCGTAGGACCCAACGACCGTAGGACCAACGACGACGTAGGAGGTCAACGAAGCCGCGTAGGACCGAACGACGACGTAGGACTATAGATCGGTTTGCCTGAAAACTAAACATACGCGCTCTTCTCTCTGATTTGGCTGAAATTGTTGTCAGTCCATTGTATTGATTATGTTTGGTAATTTTTATTTTATTTTTAGAAATTTAGGGTATAGGGTTAGGGTTAGGGGGTTAGTTTAGGGTTAGGTTAGGTTTGTAGGGTTAGGTTTAGGGTTAGGGTTAGGGTTAGGGTCTATAGCTCTAACTTTCAGAGGTTGTTGCAGTGTGGCTGAGCAACGGTAGAGTGTTCGCTTCATAGTATAGTAAAGTACGGCGTGTTCGAACCTCCCATGAACTCATGAGAGATGTTTTTATTTCGCTACTGCTTTTATCTCTTTGTATTTTATGTTGTTTCTGCATTTATTTTGTTCCGGTATTTCATTTATTTGTTTCTGGTAAAACTTTTTGTTTTATGTTAGGAATTCAATATATTTCTTTATGTTTTGCATTAAAAATTGTCGGCTAATATATTTGGTCCTGTTTGCTTCGGAAACTGACCAATGCAGAGAAGAGAGCCGGTTGTTTAGTTTTCAGGCCTCCGAAACCGGGTCCGGTCGTTTAGCCACTACCTAATAAATACAACTTGTCAGTACTAGACCTACCAGTACCAGTAATACTACTAATACTAATAAGTAATACTAATAGTCTTAATGTAACGCTGTGGCTATATGCCCGGCAGCCGGGCACGGTCTTCGTTTTCCTAAATGCCCGGCAGTTCTTAACCCTAGCTCTAACCCTAACCCTAAACCTAACAAAAACCCTAACTCTAGCCCTAAACCTAACCCTAACCCTAACTAACAAAAACCCTAACTCTAGCCCTAAACCTAACCCTAACTCTAGCCCTAAACCTAACCCTAACCCTAATCCTAACTCTAACCCTAACCCTTGTTTACTTGAGAAAACGCTAAAAATTAAAAACTGCCGGGCATTTAGGAAATCGAAGACCGTGCACGGCAGCCGTCAGATATACGCCGGCTGCCGGGCATATAGCCACTGTGTTAATGTAATGCCGGCGGTGTAATGCCCCGGGGCTCAAGGATAGAGAACATGGGTCCCAATAAAACCAATGTGCCTAAACCTAACCCTAATTCTAACCCTAACCTTCCTTCTCCTCCTTCTTGTATAAAAACTGAATAGAAAATGTTGTGCAGCAATGATGCAACATCTAAAGAGTAAAGTTGTCCGAATTTGTAAGCGTTCCGTCTTGTCTCTTTAGTTGGGTTACACCAACTTTCACTTTCTGCTGGTTGCGTATGTAGGCATAAAAATTTTTGGGATGTGTCTTGAAGGAGTCTACTAAATGTTTTTCGTGGTCTCGTCTGGCGTTCCTGCACATCTCTCCGGCCTTGTTTCTCCGGCCTACTGTTGTAATCCCCTTTCCAAAAATTTAGACCTTTGCTAGTTCCATCCTTTTTCCCTGGTTCTAGAGAGGTGAGTAGGGTCCAAGACAGACCAACATGGTCACTTTTCCCTAGCGGTCCTAGAGTGATCATGTTTTCCACCGTGTGTTCATCGTTGGTAAATACCAAGTCCAGCATGGATGTGAGCTTTCCATTGACTAAGCGTGTTGGTCCCGTCACATGTTGGCATAATAGCATGTCCTGTGTTATGTCTAGGAGTTTACAGGGGAAACTGCATGGACTGTTCTCTCTCGGTGTAATACCTAACGGAGATATACATCTCTTAAATTGAAGTCGCCCATTATCAACAGATGCGTGTAGCTTTCTCTAGCCACTTTCGAAAATAATTCCAGTAAATTTTCATTGTTCACACTTGAGCTGGATAGCGTTCTATAGCATACCCCTATGAGTAAAGTTTCTCTGTTGCCCAGGTATACCTTGCACCATGTTGACTCGTTGAATTTTTCGTTATTTAGGGTCTTGCAGGGGGTGCTGCTCTTAATGAGTGGTTGATTAGTAGGGCTACTCCACCTCCTTCCTGTCCTTCCCGGTCCTTCCTGAATAGTGAATAGCCATTTAGCTTTAGTAGACCATTATTATTCAGTTACGCACACGTATTCGTATCTTAGAACAATATATACATGTAATGATGTATAGAAAAGTTCATATATTGTTCTCAGATTCATGTATTTTAGCCAATATATTCATGTATTTTATCTACTTTCCAGCAAAATGACAGAGTTTGTACCCGAACAGTCGCCACATGATACATCAACACTTAACACACAACATTCAACACACACACACACACACACACACACACACACACACACAAACTCACACATCATCGTCATCAACACACAACAGTCAACACTCAATTATATAATATATATGTTTTTTGCTTTGCATTTTCCAATATTTTCATGTCTGTACGCTGCGATTCAGCACGCGTCTTAGTCTCTAGCCTGGGCCTAGCCTGAACTAGTTTGATGTGGGATCAGATTTTGCAGTCTGTACGGGGTATTAGCCACAAGTTACTTTCTCGCTTCTTACTACGCGAAACAATTGTGGAGCCTGGTCGGGCAATTGGACCCACTGACTGATTCTGTGGCTGCTATATTTCATATGCATATTTTACCGATCAAACACTATTTATTTTTGCAATCAGTCTTCAATTCAACTGTCAATATACTAATTTAAATAATAATCATGGCATAATGCAACAAATACTTAACCTGGTGACATGAGGGTCAAAGTCCAGTTTCTCACACCCTGCATGACGGTCACCAAACTCCGAAATCCCTGGTCGGTTCCGATCAGTGCCACAGCATAACAAACAATGACAAGCTATTACGCATAATGGCGCGTACGTGTTATATGTAAGAATATGTGGTTGGAGAGTGGATGGGTTCGAATATATCACAATCGAATTGATTGATATTTCTATATGCTACCTGTGTGTAGACACGTATCTAAGCTTTGATCTATATCAGGGTTCTCCAAGAGCACTGCCGCCAGGCTATCGTTGAGCCCCGCCATCTTAAAATGCACCCGCCACTCTAAATATCATAGCCGCCATGCTAAATATCATAGCCCCTGGACTCCCCTAGCACGCAATTAAACCACCTTCGGCGATTTGCAACTAGGACCGTAAAGGCAGCACCCGCCATGCTATAATGAAAAAGCTTGGAGAACCCTGTATATGTGTGGGTTGGATTTCTCTATATGCTACCGTCCACTTTCCCACCGCATAGACCGATGAGTCTCAGAAAACGAGCCTCGGGTATGACCGCGCGTTCATATATTCACATTATTCATACATATAGCAGTGCACGCTTTATTAAATCATGTATCCTTATTGTATCCTGCGTTTCTTGTATTGATATTGTTAGTCTATGCAGGATTCTCCAAGCTTTTTCATTATAGCATGGGGGTGCTGCAGTATATGGGGGTCCGGGGGCATGCCCCCCAGAAATTTTTTGAATTGTAGAAGCTCTGAGATGCAATCTGGGACACTCTTTGTATAAATTTGAAGCACTGCATGTGGGGTGAAAATGTTTGTTTTGCATGGGCAAAGCCATCATAAAATTCAAAATAATAATGGAATAAAAATATATATTAAGAATTCTTGATGAGCGCGAAAACACTCGGATTTGAAGTATGAAAATGAACATTATTGTGCCAGCTAGCCTACACCAGTTGGTTGGGATTGATTGTCAGTTCAGATGCAAAATATTGAAAGCAAAAGGTTATACACCATAGATTAATTGGGTACTATAACACGCGTATATAAGATAGCCGAGTCGGTTTAGGGTTAGGTTAGGTTAGGTTGGGTTAGGGATAGGGTGACTGTTTGTACTTGTGTGTGTGACTGGCGTACCCGTAGCCTCGAGACATTACGATACGGCTGCCGTACGCGTAGCCTCTGCGTTTAAACAACGTGTATTAATTGTTTGAACTTCTTGTGTATACATCAGCATGGCGGCTATGATATTTAGAGTGGCGGGTGCATTGTAGGATAGCGGGGCTCGACGATACTCTTGGAGAACCCTGCTATGGTATGGGTCATTCAAGGAAACTGCTGTGTCGTTTATAGGCAAGCATATATGCAGTTTATGCGATGTTGTGTACCCATCCAGTTTGTCACAAATTACAGTTTAGTTTTGCCATTTCAGTTGGTCTATTTATAATGATCTCAAGCACACAGCTTTATGTTCTGTGCCTATTAAGTGCAGTAATCCTAAGCATGGACACATCATCGGAAAAACTTGCCAAACCTTTCGTGATCAACACATGGCCATTTACAAATGCAACTGTAGCAGGTATGGTTTTGAAATTCGTCACTCGTGTACAAGTTAAGGTCCCTGGTAGAAATTGTTCATATATCCATTATGTTATAATATTGAAAACCAGCTAAGTCACATTCACGTGAAAGATTTTATGTTCAGATTCATTCATATCTATACATTAAATTGTCATGCCTAAGCCCAAGCATGAACATACATATACGTTGATGTAAATATGAAACCCTACAGAGATATGGTTACGTACATGTGCCCTGCCTCTGCAGGACTATTTATTTGTATCTAATCTATACATTATGTTTATGGTTCAAGTATGCAATGCACCTCCTTCTTTGTTCCCTTTTCAAGCTTGGCGGGCACTTCAGGTCGGAACAGCGGTGGATGCTGTTGTAAGTGGCTGCTCGCAATGTGAACGGGAGCAGTGTGATGGAACAGTGGGTTTCGGAGGCAGTCCTGACGAGCGAGGGGAAACCACTCTAGATGCTATGCTGATTGATGGGTAAGCAGCGCAGGAGGCCTGCAACAAGTGAAGCTGTTTCCTAGCTAGAATGTTCGCCAGTGATTCTTTGGTGATCCTCTCCTAATAATACCACGTTAATCCTAAGGAATCCAGTGCACTATAAGATTTTTTCTCTATTGACATTTATAATTTGAGTGCGACTGTAAAATGTGTGGATTTTTCATTTATTAGTTTGTTTTTCTTTCAGTGCTTCTTGAGTTGCTAGTAAATTCTTGAAAATGATTATAATACCGTTCTGCAAATTCTGTAGAGCTACTCACGCGGTGGGTGCAGTAGCAGGGCTGAGAAGAGTAAAAGATGCGATTGCTGTAGCTAGGGCTGTGATGGACCACACGAAACACACACTGCTAATTGGAGATTTGGGTAATTAATGTGTATAGTGGCTTCAGTGCTATTGTCTGCATAGCCTTATTGTACTTATTGTACTTATTGTACATCCATCCATCTAGTTATTTATCACCTCTCCTATTTCTCTTTCTTCTATCTCCCTTACTCTTTTGCCCTTTTCGCATCCCTCTCATGCATTTATGCACTGCCCTAAATGCACTGTACATTATTTTGATACTAGTGCACAAATTTAATCCTCGTGCGTGTTTCTGATGTAGCTAGTGAGTTTGCGGTCGAGATGGGCTTTAGAGAGGAGAGTCTGTCTACACCTGCTTCGATGAAGAAATGGAAAGACTGGATCAGCAACAATTGCCAGCCGAATTTCAGACGTGTAAGTAGGGCTGATAGGGTCTATGTCTCCCTGGGTACTGCCGGAACGTACCCTGGTTACGGTCCGGTATACCGGAACGTACCCTGGTAACTATCTGATATGGTTAGGGTTAGGGTTAGGGTTAGGCAGTAGGCGTAGGCGACTCCCTAGACTCGTTAGTGGAGTAGGCGAGGTATGGTCCGGCATATTAGATAGTACCAGGGTACGTTCCGGTATATCGGACCGTACCCAGGGTACGTTCCGGCAGTACCCAGGGAGACATAGACCCTGGAAGCATAAGTAGGGTTTGCCCTTGGTCTTAAGCATACACAATAAGTGGAACGATAGCAGAGATGTACCGATGAAGCAATAAATCATAACAGAATGTTCTTCAATACGATACACCAAGAGCGACTAAACAGTACGTAGCGTGTTCACCACTATACAATGTGTGTTAAAAATATGAAAAATAACTAGTAACACTTTTCTTACACGGTGGGATGGTCTGTGTGTTGATAGGCTGTGGTTTTGGTTGGTGGTAGCTAGGTAGGTAGGTAGGTACATTATAGTATGTATGTCGGTTTGGCAGTCAGTCGGTCGGTGAAAGCTATAACTAATCTGCCTCTCTGTTTTGATGGAAAGAACGTCTCCCCAGATCCTGACTCCCACTGCGGCCCGTATAAGCCCATCAAGCAGAGCAGCCAGATGGTCAAGCAGTCTGTTAGCCGACCACGATTCAGTGAGGCAAACCACGACACGATAGGCATGATTGCCATGGACACAGATAACAACATGGCCGCAGGAACCTCAACCAATGGAGCAACGCACAAGGTTCCTGGGTATGTCTGGTCTAATCTGCTAACAGCCATATATATCAAGCTGGCTGTTACCAGCCGATATAATTTACTTTTAGATTATTATAATTAATTGACATTGCTTATTTTTAGCTCATCTGACATAGTCAGATGCAGCTTGTAGAATCGCATGATCGTCCGTCCGTCCGTCCGTCCGTCCGTCCGTCCGTGCGAGCATCCGTCCGTCCGTGCGAGCGTCCGTCCGTCAACAGTTGGGCACAATTCTTAACCGCTCGACGTACGGTCACGATATTTGGGACGTGGTGGGGTAATCCGAAAACGAGTTGGGATGTCGAAGCTGGGGGTCAAAGGTCAAAGGTCAAGAGGTGTAAAAGAAGGGGGAACATTCACTCCTTAAACTTAAGATAGGGAGGAACATGCAGACATTGCGGTCACAAATCTAAACGGCGTCGACCTAAACCGGCCGTGAAAGTTGGTGGATAGCATCATGTAAGGAAACATCACTGTGCCAAATTGAGTCACAGTCAAAGGCTAATGGCACAGGCAGATTTAGAACATTTTTCTGAGGACAAATGGTCTGCACCGGAGGCGATAAAGAACTTTTTTAGAAATCTCAGCGAGGTGACCTAGCATTTTTATGGCACATTATGAAAGACGCATGAAATCTACTTTCTGCGACATGCGAAGAGTAAAGGTGTCAATAACCTTTATGACCACCAAGAACAGGTTAAACATGGAGTTGTTGACTGTCTGTTAGAAAGTAACTCTGAACTGCCGGTTTTGCTAGCATCTATACTCTATGCTGCTTATGGCATGCCAATCGTAATAACATCCTGCGGATGTATGAGCTACAATGTCATGCAGGCAATTTCAAGCGAATTGGGTTAACGAAGTTTATCCCTGTAAATCGATAATTTTCTATGCCTTCTGTACTGTCAGTATGTTACAGTAACGTATGCCACTGTCCAGGCTACTCAGGTTCCCGTAGCGGTCTCCCAAAGTCTTATAATACTTATTTTGACAAAAAATTAAAATAAGGGCCTTTAGTATATTTTGGTGGAAATCTTAGAAAAGTACTAATTAGTCTATTTTTTAATTGTTTATAAACTGTTCTCGACTTAGAGTAAGAATTGTCTGTATATATAATACGAGAAGTAATTAAATCTTTGCTCTGTAATTAATTTTATTAATTTTTAAATTCCATAATTTTATAATAATTTTTATTTCATTGTATATAAAAGTCTTATTAGTTGTACTATTAGAATAGTCGTGTCTATCAGAAATCGCGTAAAAAAGTCTATTTTGCTTCCAGAAGGTTTTAAAGTCCTTATTCAACATGATGTCTAACTACTATAACCGCTGCTTACTGCCAGTGCATGTGTTGTGTACTGTGTAGGTTTTATGCCTGCAATTAATTGGTTAAGTGCAGCTCTCTATTGCACGCTTGTAGTCTTGCGAGTAAAGGATGAGTGCTTCCTATTCTGTCTGCAATATAGTTGTGCTACTGACTATGATGGGAAGCTATCCATCTTACATCTGAATAGACACTTAAACGTACGGCGCCATCCCTCCTCTCCGCGCCAACTGTCAATAAGATCCCAACGAACATTCCTTTGAGAAGGTTCCCTGATAACTAGCGGCCTGTTGCAATGTTTTGCCACGAGTTTCGAGGAAGCGTAGTATGTGAACACATTGGACTAACAGGTTACTAGAAATCCCACATCCGTCCAGCACAGAGCACCAGCAGTCACCTTTAGGATAGCGCTGTCGCCGCCCGGCGGCACTGTTTAGAACATCGTTTGTTAATCGTTTATAGAAATGTTGTTATTTAGTTAAGTTTATCTTTGTTTGTTTTTCTATTATTGTTAATTTAATCATTGTTTGTTGTCAGTTGTTCCCAACTTGCATAACTATTCCTGTAATATTGATTTATGCAATACAAATATTGTTAACGGGATCATTGCTGTCATCGTCACGATTGGCTTTGACATTGCCATGGCGATCCCAGCACGCGGTAACCATTGTCGTGTATTGCAGGCGCGTGGGAGACTCTCCAGCGGTCGGTGCGGGAGCATATGTTGACAACGACGTCGGGGGCGCGGCTGCGACCGGCGACGGAGACATCATGATGCGATTCCTGCCCAGGTGAGTGAGATTGTTTACTGCCACCTAGCAAGGGGGCATTGAACTAACGTGTCGTCGTGCAAGATGCAAATTTCAATTGATCAATCATTTCTCCACCAGCTCAGGTTAATGATAACCTAGCTGCCATGACTACAAGCAACTAGCTAGTTAGTACTAGCTTAGTTAAAGTATGTCACAGGCAAATGTCTCAGGTGGGATTTTATGCAGGCCAGATTTAGGCCCGACTCAATCACCCCATTCACAATCCAAAAAGATGCTAAAATTTACAATTACTGCATGTCCCTTATTCGGCTGTACATATTGAGTGGTGACCACTATTGTTTATCTAGACTGTTTTATTCGATAATTTTATCATAAACAGCAACGTTTTCGCTGCCTACTGCTGCATATTGTCACACCAAAAATTCACAAACGGGGATAATTCTTTCACAAAATATTGTACGGTACTGGACACAATTACCAAGACAAAACACGCGATTTGTCGTGATCTCTGGCTTTAACGACTGAACGAGTTTACGACTTAACGAGTTTACGACTTAACGACTTTAACGAGTAAATCGTTGTTGCGCTTGCAGCTACCAGGCTGTAGAGAGCATGCGGCAGGGCATGACGCCAGCGGATGCGGTGGCTGAAGCTCTGCGCCGCATCACGCGCGTCCACCCACAGTTTGAGGGCGCCGTCGTAGCTGCGAATGCCAACGGCGAACATGGTAAGTTGGTGAGTTGGCGATTGACACTCGCCCGCGCCGCAGTGGTGTCTGACAACTGTTTGCAAAACTCGTAGCTAACTGCATTTGCTTGGCTGATTCTGTCGCGTTCGTGGGCTGGTTGCCGTCATTGCCTGTGTGATTAAACAGACCAATGCAACGCTGTCCATGTTAACATTTTTTTGTTTTAAAATGAGTTCTGCGTTAAAACTGTCGTAAGAGAAAAAGCGGAAGTCGCGCGAAGCAGAATTAATTGTTTATCTCCGTTTTTAACATTTTCCGCTACCAGGTGCCGCCTGTGTCGGGTTTGAGTGGTTCAAGTACAGCCTGTATGACGTGAACGGTCTTCGGCTGGTAGACGTTCCTTGTCGTAGTTCTGCAGAAGAACATAAGCCACCTCTACATACGCTACAGGTAAATAGCTACATAGCTCACCATGACAGGGAGAGGTAGCAGCAGAACCGACGATGGCATCTAGAGTGCTCTGTGTGAATGTACTCATCAGTCGTAAAATATACGTTGCTCACCTTTTTCTTTGAGATTTCATAGATCTAACAGAACAGACGCCATCATCACACTAGAAGACTGACTGTATGAAAGTGGTGATATTGCTCTGTAAAAAATGCCACTCTATTTTCCAGAAAAGTGCTAAAAAGCCAGGAAGTTGCTTGTAATGGAGATGAGATTCAAAGTCATTGATGCACAACTCTATGTCAATTGTACGAGTGATTATCATAACTGTGATGCACAATGATTTGTAGCAAAGAAGAAGTCAGCCAATTGTATAATTAGTGGATAAAAATGGAATTTCTCCACGTAATACGTATGCCATGGCATGGCCAATATTGTTATCTTACAATAAACTAGTCCATGCCCGTTAGGTGGTCAGAACTTCTGTTACACATACACAGACACACGCGTGCGCGCGGTCGCATAAACACACACACACACACACACACACACACACACACAC